TTATATATATATATATATATATATATATATATATATATATATATATATATATATATATACGCATATATATATTTTTACTCATTTGGAAATGTATAATCGCGTAATGTAAATACCTGTACACGGAAAAGCACGCGATGCGCGAGAGAACCAAAACAATGGGCAAAAAAGTGCTACGTCATCCGGCATCAATCAGCCAGCGTGGCCGTTCGCCTCCGGCCGAGTGATCCAAACATTAAGGACCTTCGCGGCGGTTAAACTTACCTACGTATGTCGCGTACGCTTCCGCGTGTCTCATTGTGTTGCGCATCGGCGAGCGACGCGCGTAGCACATGTCTCGGAGCGCGTTAGTTATAATAATTCCATCAGTTCGAAAACTATTTCACCGTGCTTGTCGGCATCGCGTTATTCAATACTCGTTTCTCCGACCGAATCGTTGTATCTGCGCGAGTGTAAGTGCGTCGAGAGTCCGTGAACTTCACCAGGAGCCGAGTTTCTCAATCGGACAACCAGAACGCCGGGCAGCGATATATCATGTGTTTCCAGGTGAGTTAATCGTCGTTCAATATATGGGCGTTTACGATTTCATTTATGACGTTTAACGCATTTATGTATCGCGAATAAGGAGATAATTGTGAGTCGAAATTTAGGTCGGTATTCGTGATTTGTTATCATTTAATAAATTGTAGTCTGACGATTAGAGTTTTATGAAGTGGTGATTTTTCATCAGTCTATGCTAGCACATATTTTATACAACAGGAAATATTGATCAAGCAGAGTTAGTGATGGAGGGGAGGAATGAATACGAATGTGTAATTAATTATTCTTTCGATTAAAAATCGTATAAGAAATTAGCAACTGTCGGCCTAAGGACCTATTGTAAATCTCGCAAGTGTCTAATAATGCTGGGTCGCGGGATTTCTCGACTTGATATTGTTACTTGAAACTGTCTTTTTCACTTTTGTTTAATCTTGTTATTTCACCGATACCAAATTTAAGTCTCTGTTGGTGCGCAGCATTATTGGACACGCAATTCTTTCCTTCTCATTTTTAAATCTTTCCTTCTCTTTTTAAATCTTCAAGTCAGAGTTTTCAACTGCAAAAAGAAAAATAATAAAATTAATCTCATTATTTATGCATGTTAATTATTTAATATTTACTTATTTTGCATATTCTACTTACAGTTATGTAGATTGCATAATTAATATATCTCGCTTATTAAAATTGAGAATAAACATTAAGTACAGATAGAATATTAAAATAACATTAAATAATAGTAAAATAACAGTAAAATATAAATTCTTTTTTAAAAGATAATTCTATATGAAAAAATTCGGTGGTACTTAATTATTTGCAGCATCAAGGTAATTTATACAATATTATATTTCAAGATTCTTTAATAGTCTTTCAAGCTAGGTAGGATCTGTAAAGTAACAAAGAGTTAAAATTTTGATTCGAAATATAGTTTGACGGGAATGCAGTTAGTATGGAATATCAACAATAACATTTTTTCCTCATTAACATTCTCACATGTCTCGTAAAAAAGTATCGCAGTATCAAAAAGAGACTCAATCGCACTTTGAAATGAATTTGGAAGTTCGGATTTTTTTCAACTGTGTATTTCCGCCAGATTATCTTTTCTGGATTCCGCTAAACCAGATATTCGCTTCGTTGTTTTCGCGGGGTATAATACCAACCAACTCCTTGATAAGAGGTTCAATGTCAAAGTCGCAAGAATGCGATACTATGGTATCGTATAGTGATTTGGAAATACAAATTTCTGTTAACGCTACAAGCGTCATTTTGTGGTAGGTCGCCAACATAAACTCCGCAAAACCAAGACTGATCGTAAACTCGAAATTCGTAAACTATTAACGAGAATCATATTGAGATAGTAATTAAAAGTCGGTGATATGTCACGTGTGTCTTCGTTCACAATAGTATATTTGTAATATTTTGTATTAGACTGATAAGAATCGTAAATAGACAAAGTGCTCACACGTACATACATACACACGCGCGTGCGCGCGCACACACACGCACATATATATATATATATATATATACACATATATACATACACACACACACACACACACCCGATATTGAATAAGATAAGAGTATCAAATTAACCAAGTTCGCGGCCAGGCACGCTGCAGACGCTAGCACTTTATTACAATACTATCTTGCGGAGGTAAATTTCTATGAGATTATCTGTTTGTATATACAATTTCATGTAATTCCGTCGTGGATTACGCAGATTGTCGTCGAATAAATTTGCACAGATTTATTCATTCCGGTGGGATTCGTGCAGAAGGGTCCTACTACACCGTGCACCGCGCTACCTTTTCAATTCGGGGCACAGCAAATAAGTCGTACTTGCACCGTGCTCTTGTCTCACCGCTCGTGAGATATCCGTTACTTAAAAGAGATGAAGGCTACGAGGTTAAGGAAACAAACTGATACGATGCTTTCACATGTGCAGATACGATATCAGTCCGACCGTCCTCTAACCGACCGTGCTCGGTCTCAATGTTAACGCAAATTATCGCAGGTGATATGACACAGCTTACCGCCGCCGTCTGCACGGCGCGGCAATTTCGTAATCGCGCCGAGCAATTATTCCTTTTTTGTCGTTTATATGTCGATTCGCATCGCGGCGTGTTCTTAGATAGATAAATTTCGATCGCCCGATTCGTCCACGAATTCGCATTCTTTATCGGTGACACGCGAGCGGTGCAACGTATCGTGCAAAGTGCAAAAGAACTACAACTCGAATAAAACAGTAGCGACTGCCGAAGGTACGGATGATCCGCGCGATTCGCGCACGATTGTACCTTGCACACGATCGATGCACAGTTAACGACTACGCCGATGCTAAGCTACACCTCGCAGAAACCACGTGAGACGCTTTGCGACAGGTCATGGTTTACTACCTGTCGCTCAAAAAGCTTATCAACTTCTTAACGGCATACTTTCCTCGTACTAATCATATTTTATCGCAACGCGAATTAAGATTCGATCTATCTCCAAATTAAAGATACATCCCTCTTATCTGTGATCTTTAATTTTGATGCATAATTCGATATTATTTTGATTTTATTTAATATCGCGAGACCGAATGTTAGAATTTTTGCATGTCTGAAAGTGGCAACAACGCGCCGGCAATCGTTGCGATAGCGCGTTTGTTTTCACGCACGCACGTACGTTACAGATTTACTCTGACTCTACAGATTTACTGACTCTCGTCAGTCCCGTTTAATTGATTGAAGAAAGACAAATGATGCAATGGATTTATGGCGACTATTTCGCTCGTGGGTCTCGGTACGCGGATAAATCCCCCGTGCTCTCCCTCGAGCATTAAACTCGCGCGGCAAAGGGAACTTTCGATCGCGATTTATCGTTACCAAGACTAGAACGGGTACGTATCGCGGATAATCGTGGCGAAAGCAGCAGGCACTCCCCTCGCAAGATGCTTGCAACAGTGCACAGCACAGGATATTTATACGCTCGATAGGCTTCGGAATGACTTGGTATCGCGATCGATATCGTAACTGAGGAAAATCGAATGAGTTTCGAGCACATTAACGATACAAATCGCCAAAAACATTGAAATCCTAGATAACCTTCCAGACATCAACCCTGACTTTGATGACGCAGAGACATTTATCGCTCGCAGAAATTTATCGCTCGCTTCTTTATCAAAGTTTAAAGATTTCATTTTGCAAGTCAAAGATCCGTATAAAAAAGAAGCGATGAGATTCCTCGATCCTGACTGCCGTAGGTAATAAATTCGACCGACGTCCTCGCACGGTTCTCGCTCTTCGCGCAGAATTTTCATCCCTCCGGCGGCCTCCGATTTTCCCGATCGATTTTCACCGAAATCCTACTTTTTTTTTCCTCAAATCGAATCCGGGAACGATCGATCCGCGAGCAGGCTGAAGGGTAATCGCGCCGGGTCGGCCACATGTAAATGACTCGTTGTCTACAGAAGAAGCGGGCCTAGGTAGGGCCCGCGGCGAGCTAGGTCGCTAACTCTAAGGGCCCTGAACAAAGACCGGTTCTCATATGAAGGTCACTAGTTCAATGGCGTCCATATGCACGCGCTGAGCTCCTTCCCGAAGGCCGTTTCACTTTCGTCGAAGGCGACCAAAAACCGTTTCGGTCGGCAGCAACTGTACATGTCTCTCTCGCGGTCTCTCCTTCCCCCTCTTCACCCCGGCCGACGCCACGCTCGCCACGGCTTGCCACGATGCCGATCCACTTGCACTTTCGACCAGGTTCAAGGCTGAGAGAGAACAAGACAGAGAATTCGCTGTTCGTTTCGAGTCGATCTAAGCTGCGAAAGGAGAAAGTGTAGCATGCGTGTGCGTAGAAGTGGGTCATAGTACCATACGTGTTGACGCGTCCGCGGCTCCAAGCCACGTTTCGTCTCTCCAGGCCCAACGAAGAGTCGTCGCGTTGGGAATTAGGGCCTTCATCAGTCAGGACGGTCGTGAACGGTTCGTCTGTTTATAGCACATATCTAAAACTGTCTAAACAGTCTTCTTTCCGGGCGACCGTTTCTTCTAGATTCTTAGATTCTTCAGATTTTGCGCCTTGGTGCCAGCGTTTGGTAGATCCTTGAGATTTTCATGCGCGTTCCCCCTTGGCACCTCCTCGAGTCTGAAAGAAACGGTAGGCGTGAATCGAGGATCTCGTTTTATCTACGAAACGCGCCGGTTTCACCGCGCGCCGTCGGTTTGGCGTCGGTAAGTGATAGCGATGAAAGTCAAGGCTGGTTTGTCGTGATTCGCACAGAGAGAAACACAGTTTCACTTTCTTGAGCGGCTCTCACATTCGCTCACGGCGTTCTCCGGCCTCGTACCGAGTTTTCATGGACCCCCCTTGATCGCGATCCGGTTTCTAAAACTCTCGCCGACGCGACTCGCTTTCGTTAGGTGATCGCCATCGGCGCTTTTTAACGGAGAACGAAAGTGGAGAACGACCTCGCGCTCTGGTCGACGAACTATAGTTACTTTGGTAACACTGGAGCTACGCGTTCGACAGTTACAACTTCTCGTCCCGATGCAGATATCTGCAGAAGATTACTCGGAACCTACGCGAGATTTAACTTTATTAAGATTCAAATCAAAACGCTCCGTAATTCGCTCTCCGTAAAATGCTGATCGAAGTGAGATTAGGCCAGTGAGGCCAAGATCCGCCTTCAAGCGCGAAATAACGCTCGTCTGAGACGGCTTCGATGAATATTGCTACCGTTCGCGGAGTATCGCGAACACATTGATCTCAGGATGCAGTTGTAAGGACAGAGCGCGAGGGACTGGTTCAAGTTCACATGGCTCCAGGGCTCTAGCAGAGGTTCAAGGTTAGCGGAGAAAGCCTTCCTTGTTCGTAGCATCGATATAGGTCTGTAATGCATGATTACATTGATTCGGATTATATTCGGTGTAATATATTGAGGTACGAGATAAGAAAGTGCGGAAATCGCACATTAATAGAAAATTGCGATTATGTCAGTTACCTTATTCTTTATATTTGTAATCCATGCATAATAGCCGTTCGACATTTTATAGTCGATTTTCCTGTATAATCCGCGAAATCGTTTGAAATTAAATTCGTACAGGTGTGTGCACACAGAAAAGTGCGTACTGCCATTCGAGCAAATTTCGAATATTTCTTAGATTCATATATCCACAGATCTGTTGCAAGTTTATCTTAAGCGTCAAATTTATTCAAAATACATTCTGAATCTTTGCGAATTTAATATTTTGATTAATAATATTAAATTAAAAGAAAAATTCGGCTTGTGCAAAACTGCACAAATCAATCTTTCCTCTGATAAAGTTCTATAATATTCTCGTAAAGAAAATACTTTCTTTTGACTACATGATAATATGTGAGTTTTTTCGAAATTTGTGATGAATGCATTTCGAGACTTGTCAAGAAAATATTCTTTATCGAAGGTAACCATATTATTTAAAAGGAGAAAAATATAAGCAATGGCTTTTCTTAACAGAGTATAGAACGATACTTTTGTATACTTTACGATAAAAAGTACGCGGAGAAATTCTGGAAAATATTTAAAGGACGACCTTAAGACCACCTCAAACAGATCCTTCCATAATTCCTTTTTCTACTATCCTACTTCTACTCTCAACATATTTCTCCCTTTCTCTCGCTCTCTTTCTAGCTCGGCGGTATTTCTCTCTTCCTCCCCTTCGATCTCCGACTCATTATCGTCTCTCCGTCCTTCCTCCATCCATTCATCTATCTAGCTTCATCTTTCGCCGATGCGTAGCGGCCATCTCTTTTCCCCGCTAGAGCCCTCGACCCTCCGATGTAGTCGATCTTTCTCTAGTCTAACTCATGCGTGCTACAACGCGTCTTGTCCCTAACCTAATACAACAGAGTCGCGCTGAGCCACGCCAGCGACGACCGCGTGTTCAGACCGGTTTGATGATTCAGGTTCATCTAGATCTAAACAACTACGAGCCCCGGCCACGTAATACGCTACCCGCGATTCTCTTTCCTTACATACCTACGACAATGACACGTACTTATGTACTTCCTCGTGAGAATAATTTTGGAACGTCGCACGAGGTGCGTTCTCGTGCCCGTTCAGAGTCACGGCCGGCGGATTTGGGCCCGACATGAATTTGAGATTTGCATAAAAAAGAGACCTCCCTTTGTTGACCGAAATTTACAGCTACCTATATACAAAGGCGATTGATTTAGGGCAGGTCTCGACGCAGTATGGGATGATTTTTAATAGATCTTTGTTTTAGAGACACGATATCGTTACATAGCTCGTTTCTGCGATATCAATCGCTTAATTTCAAATTGGCGTTCGCAATGCATCGCGTACATTTTAGGGGACTTGAGGCTCGAAGCAGACCCGCGAATCGGACGATACGGGTCGATAAAATTAAGAGCCGTTCCCTTTCTCGGCGCGCGCGTCACCTCGTCGCATTCATATCCGCTCGTTTCTCGCGGATGTGCGAGTCGGATGATTCGCGTCATTGGGCGAGACGCAGGGATGGGTCCTTCGCCGATCCTTGCTCAGAGAGGCCTTGACCTTCGCCGGCCGACCTAGAACGCTCGGCCGAATTTGCCGTCTAGAGGGATTCTCGGTCGAAGTTCAGAAGGGTTTAATGCCCACACCATTATACTTATTATGTCCCCATTCTTCTGCGGCGCGACTCGAGGGACGGGGACCCGTCTTAGAAATTACGGCTCGTCCTAAGAATAGAGAGAGACACGGCGGATGTTGCTGCACGGTACATGTCCGGTTTAGTTCACAGTGACGAAAAGCGGAATCGGACATTGGGCACGTTTAACCCTTTAGCGGCTCCTCTGAAGCATGCTCGGTTTCGAGTCCTTTATGCGAAGTTTTGTGGTGCTTAAAAAGCGGATCTCGTTTTAACCCTAAATAGACTACAGACTCAACGCATGTACATGCGCGCAAGAATGCATATGCAAATTTAATTATTTCGGCTTACGTTTTATGTGTCTCGAGTTATGATCTTTTTTTTTCGGAGTTAGCTATCGCGAACATCTTACATAACATTCAAGAATCACGTATTCCCGTCTAGGTGAGCATATTTGCATATCGCGAACGCGAACTTGGGCCCTCGGAAATGTACGAGCGCAGAATTAGGAACAGAGTCGCGGACGCTCTCGAGAGCGTTCTTCGCTAGGTACGCCATTGCACTGAGATAGATAGATGGTTATAGCGAGTGCGTCGAAGCGGGATGCGGGGGCTGATCGATAAAAGCGGCAGTCGGGTTCACGAGCCTCATTCAAGGACAAGGCCATGTGATAGCAGACGCGCAACCGCGGCGCGCACCGAACCACCCCTGCCTATCGCTGACGCAGGGGCGGATTAAGGCGCAATGTGGCCCTTCGTCGATGCACCAACAAAGAGTCCGCTCTCAGAGCCGTAACTATGACGTGACTAAGGTGTGATCGAAAGGGTTGAAATTCCGAGATATTCCCGCGATAATTCCGTCTCAGACGGTAGTCCAGCAGGACGATCATCGATTTCTCTCGACTCGATTTTCGAGACAACCCGAATATAATTCTCGTCATATCTCTCTCCAAGTATTTTACAGGAAAAATTCGCGATGTCATCTTTAAAAATTTTACCCCACAGTCCCAAATGGCAAGACACCCGAGAAATCGTTGCGCGCGTGAAAAAGGGATCTCTGATGGCAAAGGGTTGTGTATCTGGGGGTCGCGTCTTCCGCGCGCACGGAAGGAAGAGGCTCGAGTGAGCGAGAAGGAGGAAGGAGGCGCAGACGGAGGACGTGAGATCGGTGGGAGATCGCATTGCGTGGTATGGTGTGTGGGGTCGTATCGCGGCCAGCCGCTTTATATACGCGCGTCTGCGGCGCGCATGGATAGCGCGTCGGTACATCGGACGCTATAGGTCGAAAGCGTGTGCACGCTTGCCGGCGGCTATAGGCTGCCCGTAGGGGTGAGACAGAGAGAGAGAGAGAGTGAGAGAGAGAGCGAGCGAGCGAGCGAGCGAGCGAGCGAGCGAGAGAGACAGAGGGCCGGATCGGGAGAGAGGGAGAGAGCAAGCCGCGAGAGGGAAAGAGATGACAGGAGCCGCCGCGCTTATGCACCACTGAATCCGCCGCGACCGGCACACTCTCACTTTCGCCGGCGCCGATGACGGTTCTCTCGACGTCGTCGGCTCGTCGCCGTCAGAGCGTTGTGCTGCAACGATCGCGTATATAACGTGACAGCCGTTAAAATACAAGGACGCAGGTCGCGCGAAAATATTGCCCGACAGTGTCCCGCATTCGGGGTCGCTAATCCGGAAGCAGTGTAGCGGAGCTACCGTTGGTTCGTCACCTTCCTCGCGGGGGTGACGTCGCGACCACGTGATAACGTGTTCATCGCGACGTCGTGGTCGTCATCAGAGACGACACGGCGCGGCACGGCGTGGCGTGGCGCGGTGTGGTGCGGTGTGGTGTGGCGCGGCGCGACACGCTAGCGCCTTGTTTTGACAGCGTGGTACTGTGGCTCAACGGGGGTTGACGCTCGCCTTTGTGCCGACGATAGTAGCGTAGACGCGGAGGCGGTTCGTCTCTCTCGCTCCAGCGCGCACGAGGGTGAGACGGCCGGAGAGCGTGAGTGGGGCAGATTGGCAGCGCGCCGGGAGGGAGCGAGAAAGTGGTGGGTGTGTGGGTGGTAGGAGAGAGGGGAAGGTGACTCGCGAGGGACGACGCGTGTGCCGAGGAGGACTGTTGTTTTCGGCAGACTGCTAAGAAACGATCATTCACGTGACCGATCGCTCCGAAATGCGTGCTCGCGTACTCAGCGCGGTGTAATCGCGCCTCGCAGTACGCGCGGTTCCTTCGTACGATTCGCATCGAAAGCGAGAGCGTTCGGTATCGCGAGTGAGAATTTCCGCGGCACCTGCCACGCGCCACCGTGAGACATTGACCGTGACATCCGAACAACCGGCGGGAGTGCGCGCGCGACAAAGAGAGAGACACTGCTACGCGACCGGGTGAAGTCGATCCCGATCAGCCACGAGAGACGGATGGCAGTTCGTGAGAGAAGGCAACTTCGTTTTTAAGTGCACTTCGACCCCATAAGCCCCTTTGAGATAATCTTATTTAGAGCTTAGCTTAGCTTGCCCACAAATATGTGTGTTCCACGGTGTGCTCCGAGCTAGAATCCCACTCGACGTATACAGGAAGAAAGAGCAAAATGCTTTCGTGACGAGACTGGTCGACTGGTCGATAGGTGCTTCGTTAAATCGAGTTCTCGGACAGTGGATTTACGGATACTGTGTCGATGACGAAACGTGACTGACTCGAGGTGTTGTTCGAAGTCGTCGACGTGGAATTCGAACGGAATACGTGTATGAGACTCGTGGTGACAGGTCTGAAGAAGTGCACGGCACGCGACTCGTGCGCGTCATACATGTATCCACGTATTACCTCGAGTGGACGCGCGATCTAACCGTCGAGAACGACTGTCTTTCGCGTGACAACCCTAGCAACCCGCGGCAGCGGGTTCTCCGCAACGAAGGTGGCTCACACGGCTAAGGACAGGGCCGCCGAACTGCAGGCGGAAGTGCGCAGCGCCATAAGGGTGCTGCATGGCTGGTGCCCCCGGCCACCGCAGGGGCACGCGCGAGGAGAAACGGTGCTGATGTCACCGCAATCCCAAATACGTGGCAATCACAGAAACGGTGGCCCGCCTCCGCCGCCACCCGCCACAGTCGTGGTCAGCTCGACCTCCAGCATGAGGCCGCCGCCGCCACCGCCGCCTCCCAGAGCGAGGGCCTCGAACGACAGCAAGGGCCATCACGAGGAGCCCACCAGTTCTATTCCTGATCTCGGTGAGCAGTCTCTCTCCCCCGCGGATCACTTTTCTCTCGATACTGCGAACACATTCGCATATTCTTCACAATTGTTTTTATACTTATCAAATGTATCTCTCCCGAAGATATCGCGTTCAAATGCGCATCTTCGGCAACTGCAGGCTAAGTAGGTTTACGAGTCGACTCATTTGCGCAACGATTTTGAAAAAAATCATAAAGGCTCGATATCCCGAACTCGTACGCAAATCGCTAATTGTTAAACGCCGCGATAAGTAATGAAACGTACGCTCTCGTAATAGCTCTCGCTAATCGTTGGAACGTTGATACACATTTCGCGAGTGTGCATCCACGCTTTGTTTACGAGCAACGGCTTACGCAAGCGCGGCTTATTCACCGTTTCGTGGCGCAAGTAGCGAGATCATCGGTCCATAAAAAGTGGCTTAAAAAAGGACGAGCTTCTGGGAGAGATCCGGACGAAATTTGCATACCGCGGCGGATCGGCGAGCATAAATTCCGAGGCGTCGACTGTAGGGTCTGCGGTTGTAGACGGGGGCGGGAAGGGGGATTCTTTAGCAAATCGTCGTTGTCTCGTCAGACTTCGCAGAACTGTTTTATATTCCAGATGATCCGACGTGTTTACGTTGATAAAGTTCATTAACGATAAGTCCCGCTAAGCGCCGTTGTCTGTTGGTCATATGTAGAACCGACAAAATGTTCGAGTCAAAATTTTAGCTCTACTTTCGATTAGAAATTTCTAACATTAGTATGTTCTGAAGCATCAGTATATGTTCAGAACATTAAAGTCCCACTTAGCGCTTCTAAGTGACAGAAAACATACAAAATACTATTTATAGGCTCTAAAGAGGACTTCTCGCCAGAGTTATCGGATTAAAGAGCTAAGAGAGGTTGACGTATGCTTCAGTGTATCAGAATAAGCGTTAAATGGAATATCAAGGTAAAAAATAGAATCAAAATTACGATTCGGATGACGAGGAAGAGTTGAGAGAAAGATGATCCGAATTGAAATTTAACCGCGTTAAATAACAAAGAAATCGTGGGCAAATGGGCGGAACGATAATTTTCCACAGTCGTAACTTAATCCCGTAATATAGCGCATATTATTTTCGTAGGCGAGGTGACGAATGATCAAGGTTACTCGCGGCGAAAGGATTATAGCGCGGGCGCGCATATTTCTTTTATGCCCGTGTCACCACAGAGGCGAGTGATTGTGTTCGCGAAAGAGATCGGTAGAAAGAGAGAGAGAGAGAGAGAGAGAGAGAGAGAGAGAGAGAGAGAGAGAGAGAGAGAGAGAGAGAGAGAGAGA